CTCCTGCTGCTCCAGCCCCTTCCCCAGCTCCGTTCCCTTCCCTGCACACGCTCCAGCCCCTCCGGGTCCCTCCTGTTGAGGGCCCAGAACTGGGCACAATTTAAACACATGAAACTCAGAGCATGTAAATAAACCTGTAGTTCACAATTATTCCATAGGAAATGCTTTTCTAGACCACAACATTCCTTAATCACCATCATTATGTCCAACCAGCATCTATCCCTGACGTGTGAATACAGAAATCTACCTAGTAATACAAAATAAAAGGTATTTAAAATGGTCAAAACCACACTCCTTTCAGGGCAAGTAAGTGGTTTAAACACAGTACAGCTGTTTCATTACCTCTTATTTTCAAACAGTATTTATTCCGCATTTCCTGATTTGCGTTTCTAAAAGAAACAACCGGTAAACAAAATCAAGCACAATATTTGTGAAGGACCAGGACTGTTTCCAAACGAGCCAGTTCAAAGCAGGAGGTAATTTCATGAATATTTACTTAGTGCTGAAGCGATGGTCTCCTAATGCAGAGGGTCACTCGGAGTAGGAAGCAGTTATTGCCATCTTTCCTCTCCAGAGGAAGGAGCCTGGCACTAAGCCATCCCCGTTTTCCTGAAAGATTAACCATCAAATGTGATGGGGGACTTGATGAAGAGTTTAAAAAAAGGGCACAATCCTCTGTGATACATCCTGTCCCAAATCAGTTTAAGTCCATCGTGGTAATTAATAAGGCAACGGTAGGAAGGAGGTAATTGCATTCCAATTTTGCAGAAGTCATGCAAAAAGGACCTGAACGAGTTTGCTAAAAATACACTTAATAGGCAAAAACCTGGCCTCTCAGAAGGAAAGAGCATAATGGTGTGTTCATTCCCACACCTCCCAGTCCTGTACTGGGGGTGCTCCAGTGCTCCACCCAGACCACAGCTGGCCACCAACCTCCCAGCAAGCCAGGGACAGCTTTCCAGCAAAACGCCTGCAAAAGAACTCAGCCCCATTTTCCATTTCAGCAAACAGGGGCCCTGCACAGAGGCCACATTCCAGCTGTGGAAAGTCTCATGTTAAAGGTTTGCAGTGGCCATCAAATGCCACATTTCCAGAGCCTGCTGAGAACATCCACTGGCTGCTCCCTCAGCCGCGAAGGCACGAGATAAATAAAAACCTGGGTTTGTGGATGTGAAAAAAGGCCCTGAGATGCTTCTCCACAGTGTGGGGAGGGCGAGGGGGGATCCTGCTCCTCTGCCCCCCACCTGCAGAGCTGCCTCCAGCCCTGGAGTCCAATATCAGGATGTGGAGCTGCTGGAGCGAGTCCAGAGGAGGCCACGGAGATGCTCCGAGCCCTTCAGCTCTGGAGCCAGGCTGGGAGAGCTGGGGGGGTTCACCTGGAGAACAGAAGGCTCCAGGGAGACCTGAGAGCCCCTTCCAGGGCCTAAAGGGGCTCCAAGAGAGCTGGAGAGGGACTGGGGACAAGGGATGGAGGGACAGGACACAGGGAATGGCTTCCCACTGCCAGAGGGCAGGGATAGATGGGATAGTGGGGAAAAGTATTTTACAATCAGGGTGGGGAGGCCCTGGCACAGGTTGCCCAGAGAAGCTGTGGCTGCCCCTGGATCCCTGGAAGTGTCCAAAGCCAGGTTGGACGGGGCTTGGAGCAACCTGGGCTGGTGGGAGGTGTCCCTGCCCATGGCAGGGGGTGGGACTGGA